GCAGAAATCTTGTGTTCTTGAAGGAGGCAGAGCCTGCGCATCTGTCCCCAGGGTCATCAGAGCGCCACCCTAAGAAGTTCTTGCTCAGCAGATGAGTACCTGTGTGCAGGGAGGGACAGGTCCTGCCCCGTCTGTGTGTTACAGTCAGCAGAGCCCGTCTTCATTGTCTGCCATTTGTGCTCATCGCCCTTGAGGGTATGTGTTTAGTAAATCTTATGCTTAATATTTTCGTTGAGTTTTGTCTCTGCTCAGATTTGTCAGTATAGCCTAAAATTATGTGTTTTTTCCTTGCTCCTAAATTCAGAATCAAATAAGTCTCATTAATTTTAGTCTAACCCTTCTAGGCTCAATATGTCTTCTGTAGTGGTTCTCAACCTTCCTAGTGCCACGACCCTTCAACACAGTTCATGTTGTGGTGACCCCCCCCAACCATAAAATTATTTTTGTTGCTACTTCATCACTGTCATTTTGCTACTGTTATGAATCGGGCGACCCCTGTGAAAGGGTTTGTTCGACACCCACAGGGCTCACAACCCACAGTTTGAGAACCACTGTTATAGAGTGAGAGGAGTCTGCCTGCAGGAAAGCATTATGGGGAAGTGGGAAGCATTTCCGGTAGCACATTGCAAGTACATTTAGGGTGAAGTTGAGGGAAGTTTCCTTCCAACCCTGACTTTGTGAAAAAGTTACATCCCTGAAAACAATCCAGATTGGAGTGCTGCTTCCTGCTCACCTTTACCAATCTTCCTCCCAGATACCTTTGTATAAAACTTTTCTCTAGAACTTCAGAACAGAAAAGTGATGGTCCGGATACTAAAAGTAGATGGGGGCTGAATTCACACTCCCTTCTGGGGCTTGACGGTGCAACCAGTCAGTGATGGCAGGACTGCAGCTACCCATGTGAGGGTTCAGTCAGGGAGCGCTGCTGCTGGGCTCCGGTGCCTACACGGACCGATTTCTCCCAACCGAGCCTGTCCCTGCGACCAGGACGCCTCCAAAGAATGGTTCAAACAAAAATCACATGTATGAAGCTGCTTGCTACACGGTGCACAATGATCCTTCTAAAACAGTTTCCCTAAGTGGGAAGAGCTGGGTCTTCCTGGACCAAAAAAAAAAAAAATCAGAATTTTGACTTAAAAGCTACAAGGACTCTTGAACCCTAGAATGGAAAGTTGCTAACTCAGGGCATTCTTAAACTAACTAAATTCTTATTTAAATGTTGAATTAAATTGGGTATATAAACACTTTCAAGGATTTAGCTGATAAACCCTAGTCTTTGATGACAGTATCCTGAAGTTAAAGTAAGGTTTGAATCGTTTTTTTTTTTCTTTAATAAATCATTTTATTGGGGACCCTTACTGACTTGCTCGTGTTTGACTATCACAAGAGGAAGAAAAGTCTATTTTTTATCCTCCTCTCTCCGTTAGTTCTGCTTATGTGAAGTGGTGTCCATTTAGAGAAAAATACTATAGAAGAGAGCCGATAGGACAGAGTCGAACTGCTCCTTTGTGGTTCCTTTCCGAAGCCGACTGCTGCATCTTCCCTAGGTGGTGGATGACTCCGAACACTGACCTGCAGTTGAGTAGCTGAGCACGTTAACCGCTGCACCACCAGGCTTTGAGAGTCATGAAGGGAATGTGGACAGTGTGGGTTGGAGATCTGACTTTCCGTCTGAGAGAGCTGGAGCAATTCTGTTCCGTTCTTTCCTGCCCTTCTTAAAAGCAACTCCGGTGGTGCTGTCAGTTAAGTGTTGGCCTGCTAACCCCGAGGTCAGAGGTACCCCACTAGCTGCTTCCCCAGAGAAGGATGAGGGTTTCTGCTCCTGTGAAGATTTAGTCTTGGGGACCCTAAGGAGCAGTTGTGCTCTGTCTAATAGGGCCACTATGAGGTAGGAGGGACTCTGACAGTGGACTTGGTTGGTCCTTCTCAAACCATTGCTATGGTAATTGAGAGTATGTCTACAAGAATGGAAAAGTTCTTTACAAATTTTCCATATTTCAGAGCTATATCTAGTCTCTCAGATCCTGACTCGGTTGGCTCCTGAAGTACTCTTGCTGAGGAGTGAGGAAGACTAAACACACGCACACACACACACACACACACACACACTTTATGGAGCACTTCCTGGCATGCTTGGCATTGTGATCACGTTTCATAGATTAGTAAAGGCATGATGGAAAGGTGCTAGGCTGCTCACAGCAAGGCTGGCAGTGGGAGCCCACTGTAGCTCAGCAGGAGGAAGGTCAAGCTGTGTGCTTCCATTAGAGCGTGCAGCCAGGAAAACCCTACAGGGCCGCCCTCTCCCTGCCCTGTGCGGGATCAACCCCACACAGCAAGAGAAGGGTAACATGTAATCCTGGCAACAACCAAATGGGAGAAGTCATTTTGACCATAGTTCATTATGAAGGACAGACCCGTCTTAGTGACCTGTTGTTTACAAAGTGAATTTAGTGGTGGTTATGAGGTGGTAGATTGTATCTGATGTGTTAAAGGGGGCGGGTGTGTTTCCTGAGAGCCAGAGGGACTCCATTGAGGACTATGGGCATTGGAAGGGACCTGGTGCTCAGTGCCTGTGCACCGTCTGGTCTAGCAGCAACGAGCCAGTGAATGATGAGGACTCACACCTTCAGATAGTCGGGGGGTTCTGTTCCTTATATTGTTTCCTTTGTGAACTGGGCCTTGATGTGTATACAGCTGTGATAATTACTGTACAGGTATCTGTATTGCTTTTTAATTTGTAGAGCCGTTCCCATGTACAATTTCATTTTTCCCAAATAGCCATGTTTGCTACCTAGGCAGGGGGTGGGAGTCGAAAGGTAGCCAAGGCGAGATTTTTCAGGTTAGTTGGGAAATATTTGAGCAGAGTCAGAGAGGAACAGATCCTGTTTAGGGGATGATAACAGATTTTATAAGTGGAATTAGGGATCAGTATGTCAGGAAGAAGGAAGGTATGGCCACTTCGGAAAAATATGAAAGGTTTTTAATTTTCTTAAATGTAAATGACAGAAAGATGATGGCAGCATATGTGCAAATGCACTTGACACATGGACGAATGTATGGATTATGATAAGAGATGAAGAAGCCCCAATAAAGTTGTTTTGTTGTTGTTTTTAAGGGACAGAATTTTATGCTCTCTTTACCACCCCCTCCATTTTGTGTATGTGTGTGTATGTGTACGCCTCCTGATTTCAAAGCAGGATCCTTTTCCCCCCTTAAGGCAAGCAGTCCATGGTGGAGTTGTACAGAAAGGGGCATCCTGAGGACAGCCCAGAGTGTAAGCACACACCTAGGGTTTTGAGGTTTGTGTTTGTGGTTGGTGGTTTTCTTCTACATGTTGGGTGGGGTAGGTCTTGAAGGGGTGGGCATGCAGTGGCAGCAGCTCAGTGCCCTCCATGCAGACACCCTCCACAGCCTTGCATCTCCCCAACTGGTGCCGTGAGGGCAAAGGCTCTCTACCCTTTCCTGGGGGGTGCCAGAGCGAGGGCTGAGGGCCGGATGCAGGCTAGGTGGTTCTAGGGCTGTGGTCCACGTGTAGTTTAGTTTGTGTTTTCTTAAATCATTTGACCACGGACAATGGAATGTCACAAAGTTATAGAAAAATGGAATTCAAAGAAAATAGTGGAGTTTTTTCCTGCACCCTTTTTGAAACCCCCCTTTCCCTCATATGTATAGATAATTTAGTGATGCCCTGCCTGAGTGGCTTAGTGGATTACAAATTGGCCTGCTAACCACAAAGTTGGCAGTTTGAACCCAGCAGCCACTCCCCGGGAGAAAGATGAGGCTTCTGCCCCTGTAAAGATTTACCCTCCCCGAAGCCCTGTACGAGCATTCTGGACAGAATTGACTGATGGCAGTGAGTTTGGGTTTGGGGATAATGACTTTAATTTTGGCAATCCTTCTAGTCAAGACCGGCAACACCCGGCATTCTGTGACAGGCTTCTTTTAGAAATTACACAGGAGCAAGAAGTGGACACGAGCATTCTAGAGGAAGAGCCTCAGGTGGGTTATAGCAGGCGTGTTCTGCCATTGTGCTGGCCTTCGGGGAAGCCTCCTGTCCTGGTGGGTGTCTCTGCATCTTTTCCGCCCCCGGAACTATTGCACCTGCAAGAGAAAGGCTTGCAGTGCGTGCCTGCTACGACCAGCGTCTGTCTTCCCATTGACCTCACCTCTGCCCTTCTTCCCTCCATGCTCCCCATCCTGAATCCATTTGATAGCCCAGGCTTTGCCAAGGCGGTCCTCAGGCCTCTGTCCCAGTGCCTTACAGGTGCCTCCTTTACTGGAAGCAGGCGACTCCTCTTTTGCCCACTCTCCTGTACGTCTGTTTCCACTGAAGCAGTTCAGTTCCTTATCGCATCTTTTTCCTTCAGAAAGTGGGACCACATAGTATGTGGTCATGTGCCTTTTAGCCCCATGACGTAAACTGGCCATGTTTTTAAAATAAGTAAAAACCCTGCTCTGAGTGTTCCGGATAATGGGAGACAAATGGCACCATGCCAGTTCTACCCAACCCCGTGTACTGTATCCGGAGACTGGGCTCACAAGAGTCCCTGTTTTCCTTAAGCCAGTGTCAGCAGTCCTAGTCCGAAGTCCCAGAGGCCCCGAAGGACAGTGTAGAAAGGATGCACCGCCTTCTGAGAGGGGGCCGAATGTGTCCGCTCGCGTGTCACCGCTGCTCAAAGGGAGGACCTCCATAGGGTTGCACCTTGGGATGTAGGAACAGGAGCGTGCTGGCATGAGGGGAGCTCCACCCCCCTCTTGTGATAATGTTTTATGGTCACTAACAGAGTCATTACTTCTCTGCCACCGAGCAGCTGGGACTGCCCGCCTGTCATCTAGTGCCAAGAGCAGCACCACTACCATCACACCCCGACACTCCTTGCAGAACAAATTGTAAAAAGACCCACCGTCACCAGAGTTCATTTGAAAGGGGCTTTCTAGGGTTTGCTTGTATAAATAACAGTAGATCCGGGTCTTACTCTCTGTGCTTCTTCTCCCCACAGGTTGTAAGATTAAAGCACTGAGGGCCAAGACAAACACGTACATCAAGACACCTGTTCGTGGTGAAGAGCCCGTTTTCGTTGTCACTGGGCGAAAAGAAGATGTCGCCATGGCCAAAAGGGAGATCCTCTCAGCTGCGGAGCACTTCTCCATGATCCGAGCCTCTCGAAACAAAAACGGCCCCACCCTCGGGGGCCTGTCCTGCAGCCCGAACCTGCCGGGTCAAACCACGGTGCAAGTCCGAGTCCCGTACCGTGTGGTTGGACTCGTGGTGGGACCCAAAGGAGCAACGATTAAAAGGATTCAGCAGCAGACCCACACGTACATAGTGACTCCGAGCAGAGATAAGGAGCCCGTCTTTGAAGTGACAGGGATGCCCGAAAACGTCGACCGAGCCCGGGAAGAAATAGAAATGCATATTGCCATGCGCACAGGAAACTACATCGAGCTCAACGAAGAGAATGATTTTCATTACAACGGCACCGACGTCAGCTTTGAAGGCGGCACTCTTGGCTCTGCGTGGCTCTCTTCCAACCCAGTTCCGCCCAGCCGTGCGAGAATGATATCCAACTACCGCAACGATAGCTCCAGTTCTCTGGGAAGTGGGTCCACAGATTCCTACTTCGGAAGCAGTCGGCTCGCCGACTTCAGCCCCACAAGCCCATTCAGCACAGGAAACTTCTGGTTTGGTGATACACTACCATCCGTGGGCTCCGAAGATCTGGCCGTTGACTCGCCAGCCTTTGACTCTTTACCAACATCCGCTCAAACCATCTGGACTCCATTTGAACCAGTTAACCCCCTCTCCAGCTTTGGGGGTGATCCTTCTGGTAACACGAAGCCTCAGCGCAGAGGAAGCCAGCCATCTACTCCGCGTCTGTCTCCTACATTTCCCGAGAGCATGGAGCACCCGCTTGCTCGGAGGGTTAGGAGCGACCCGCCAAGTACAGGCAATCATGTGGGCCTTCCCATGTACATACCTGCTTTTTCTAATGGTACCAACAGTTACTCCTCTTCCAATGGCGGTTCCACCTCCAGCTCACCTCCAGAATCAAGAAGAAAGCACGACTGTGTGATTTGCTTTGAGAATGAAGTTATTGCTGCCCTAGTTCCGTGCGGCCACAACCTCTTCTGCATGGAATGTGCCAACAAGATCTGTGGAAAGAGAACGCCATCATGTCCAGTTTGCCAGACAGCTGTTACTCAGGCAATCCAAATTCACTCTTAACTATATATATATACATAAATACTATATCTCTATATGGACTCGTAAAGGCATGGGTATAATGGTACCCCCCAGTAAACTTCCTAATGAATTCTTATGACTGTTATCAGGCTTTATTGGGATTAGGCTAAAGTTGTTAGTAAACTTATAAAAGGCTGCTATGGTGACACTAAACCTAAGTGGTCTCTTGTCTATTAGTTCGGTTTGAATTCTTCATACTATCCTGTAGACCCAGAGACATAGCTTGTGTAAGGTGCTCAAGCTGACATTCACCTTGGCTGAGTGAAGATCATCATAGGCTGTGGGGGCCTATGAGACCAGTGCGTGCTTCTAACGAAGAGTTCAAAATGAGGGGTCCCAAAGCCTTGCCACATTAAAGTTTGTGGAGGGTACTTGGCATTACAAACAATCCAGACACTTCCAGTGCTGCCTTCTTTACACTGCCAGTTTTGACAAAACAGGTTTGTTTGTGTTTTTATTTTACAACAACTTATGCCTAATTCTGCAGGATTGCAAGTAACTTTTTAAATGCATTGTGATTACTAAATTGGTTCCGATTAGGGTTGATGGCAGTTAACTCGATCACTGGTTTCTGATTTGGGGACAAGCACTGCTCCATTGACCTTCATCTCACCCAGAGCACCCAAGGGTAGCAGGGATCCGTGAATCAGGAAGGCAGTTGTCTCGATTGTGAATTTTTACCCATCACCTCCCTTGGGCGAGGTGGAACAGCCACCCGTGATATCCCCCAGTCGGGAGAGGCTGTGGGGTATACCTATTTTTGGTTATAATAGCTGAGGATGCGAACATTCCATTCATTAGTCTGATCCAGCTATTAATTTTTTAGACTAGCTAAAAATGTGAAACACGTTTCTGTTCAGTCCATGTTTGTCTTGCACATTATAGATATATTTTTCTTTTTTAATAATTTAGGGGCAGGGTGGGCTGGGAGGGAGGGGAGCTAGGGGAAACCGTGCTCTGAGCATAATTCAACCAAAGCAACTGTGACGCCCTCCAATCAGTTTACTTCATTTCAAAACTGTTTGCGATCAAAGGAAAGATTTCTTTAAAAACACACTTGTACATTTCACCTGTGGATGGCTCGCTCTCTGGCTTCATCCGCAGTATGTTCCCAAATCTTTGCTGGCATTGAAAGGACAAAACGTTATACTGGTGGGTTTTTCTACTAATTATTTTTTGAAGCGTTATTTTTCCCAACACAAAAGAGCTTTTTTTCTCAGTATAATGAAAAAATTGCAATCCTATGTGTATTGAATAGTAAATAGACAAATTTTATTTTTTATTTCCACTTGAAGAGTTACATTTCGTATAAAAGTTTACAAATAACGGTTTTTATTTTGATTTTTTCAGTATAAAGACAAAGTTGCCTTGATGGCATATTATGATGTAATGCTAATTGCTTGTAGGATAGTTAAATGTCAGTATTGAAACCTAATCTTTAGCTGCCGTCTTGTAGATATGAACGAATGTTCACCAAGCATGTATTTTGTATTTTATTGCATTGTACACTGCAACTAATCAGCCGAGGAATCGCCATATGTTAGGTGCGTGTACTGTTTCTAAAAACCACAAACTTAAGAATGATAAATTATCAATATAGTTTAGTATTTGCTAATTTTACTACACTCTTTTGTTATGTATATGTAGGGAAGTCATAGGGATTATAAATTCAATTTGAGTAAAGTTTAAAAACCATATATTTTATGATAAAGGGCCTTTAACTTAAGATGGCCAAAGCACTGATATTATATATTTGCTGTAAAGAGAATTATAAGAGTTTTATTTTTCTGATATTAAAAGTTACTTAATAAAGACTTGTTTCCATTAACTTGAATGTATTCTCCGTGGTGTTTTTTTATCTACTCATTAACCGTTTAAGCAGTTGGCGGCTATTTGCCAGAATTGGGATTTTCCTTGACCAAGTTTCCCGTGCCTCCCTGGCAGCTACTCATTTTCCTTCTGGTGATTTTGGTGATTTTTCTCTTCAAGTGTCCCTGATGCTCCTATTCTAATCCGCATCTTCTTTCAGTGTGAGGAAAGTGGAGCCCTGGGCCAGTCTGTTGAGATGAGGTCCACTGGCATGTTTGTCTATGGAAGGCGGCACAAGTAACCACTCCTGACCTAGCGGCGGGCACGAAAGCCCCTGACGAGTACGCAGTGGTGCTGGCTAAGATCCTGACTCCAAACCAGGAAGACCCTGCCTGATTTGTGTTCTTTGCTTATACTTTTTGTCTTTTCATCACCTAATCTTGACTCAAAATATTTTGTGGTTGACAAAAATATTACCCCATTAACTAGATCGATTCGGTGTTAATTAGAGCAACTTGTTGCCATGTTGTTTAAAAACAGCAAAAATAGATCTTTCCAAGGTTGGTTTACAGCAGGGGTAGGCAACCTTTTTCTGCCAAGGACCATTTGGATATTAATAACATCGGGTGCAGCCCATACTGGTCAAGCATTTAATGAACTCACCCCGAATGTGACGGTTAGAACAGCTTCTCATTAGTGAAGCAGGTGATGTTAGCTGGTATTGATTTATTATTTCGTAGGCCTTATACATTCCCCACCCCTGTTTTGAAGAAAGAAACCATAGTGTTTTTTTCTTTTTTTATTGTGATTTATGTTAAACTGTACATAACAAATTAGCACTGCCTGCCTGCTTTCTCTTTGCTTTGGGGCAGATGTTAGTGACCCTTTGGGTCTCTTGCATTTGACTGTTCGGAGGAGCACAGTCATCGTGGATGGTGGTGGTGGCCGCTGTCTGCTGAAGAGTGGCATCTGGGAGCGGCTTCAGTGCCAAGTTAGCACCGTAACTTATGGCAGGTAGTCTCGGGTTCCTCCAGTCTCTGGCGGACCACTAAGTCTCATCTTTGACTTTGAACTTTCTACTTGCTTTCACTAACTGCTCCCTTTCTCTTGTGTTTTTTCTTGTTCTTGATCAGAACAGGTGGTAGTTATAGCAGGGCACCATCTGGTTTTTCTGGATTCAGAAGAGGCTCTGGCACCTCAGGGGTGCCAATTTCTCCTTTGGACAAATTGCTTCTTGGATCTTCTGATTTCTTTGTTCTCTTTTGCTCCTGATGGGAAAAGACCAATAGTTTTATATCTTAGATGGCTGCTCAAAAGTGTTCAAGACCCCACATCCCCCTGCATCCACCACATTAGGGTGCAGAACATTAGCTTTATGAACAATGATATGCTAGTTGACTTTTAAGGTCTTTAGCATTCTAGCTTTATAGCCCAGTCTGAAAGGTGTTTTCATAGCTAAGAAGTTCCCAAAACTATGTTTTATATGCTCCGGATACATGGGTCTATCTGCGTATGGGTGAGCATGTGACTTCTCATATTCTTTTAGCGCAGCTACCCATGTGTCCATTCATAGATTACTGGGTTATTGTTTATTACTTCGTTGCAGGATTGTATGTGTTAAGGAATGCACCCAAATATTCTTGCATGCCTCTCTCCATGTCCTCCTCTGTCTTGGTCAGTTTTGTGGTAACTTTGTGCATATTGTATATTGTGTTTCCCGTCACCCAGTTTACCACATGTCTACTGAACTTTTTAATTGAACTGTTTGTCTTTTGGTTTCGATAAATTTTGGAGACCTTTGTCAGATAAATCCTTGCCAAAAATTGTTTCCCAAGCTGTAGGTTCTCCGTTTCCTCTTTGGCTACAAAGAGGAGAGAGCATAAGTACCGTATATGCTCATGTATAAGCCGAGTTTTCAGCACATTTTTAATGCCGTTTTTGTGGTAAAATTGGGTGCCTTGGCGGATTCGCAGGTCGGCTTATACTCGAGTATATGCGGTGTATTTCTTTTCCAGTTACCTGGTGTATCTGCTGTTGATGCATCATTACTAGTTATGTGTGAGAGCTCTGCCATGACTTAGCTATAGACCTTGTCTCAGTCTTCTTCCACAAACATTATTGTTTTAACTTTATCATTTAGCTCAGTCCATTTTGAGTTCGTTTTTTGTGTATAGTGTGAGGTACAGATCTTGTTTCCTTTCTCTGCAGATGGATGACCAGTTTGTTAAAGAGCCGGCAGTGTGTTTATAGAGGCCATCTCTCCCCCATTTAATGAACTTAAGCTCCTCATTGAAGATCAGCTGCCGATAGCTGGGCAGAGATTGGTTTCCAGGTTCTCAGTTCTGTTCCATTGACTCTGTTCTTAACACTTTGGAGTACTATGCAGTCAGTTAAGTCTTTTTATTGTAGGTGTGCACAAAATCGTCGCGCTGTGCTAGAAGAATGAAGAATATAGGTTCACTGATGAGAAAGATCATAGGCCTCCTAGAAATGGTTTGCTAATTGTAGACTCATCCTCCTGAAGTATAAAATTTAAATTATTTGGGTGATTATAGTATTTATACAACTCCAGCTTAAACTGTATGACCAGGGAATATGAATTCCTTAACATTTACGTAAAGTAAGGTCAGGATCCTTCAGGGGACCTTGAAAATACCTACTTTGGAGCCTGGTTTTCCTCGCCAACAGAGGAAGCTAAGACTTCGTTTGTCTGAGATTAATGTTGGCAAAACTGATAAGCCCTTATCCCAGTTCCAAGTCTGAGTCTGCCTTTTCCCATCTGCCAGAGGTGGTGGTTTTGTTTTGGGGGTTTGTTTTGTTTTGTTGCTTATCGAAGTACTAAAGGAGAGAAGCTTCTGAACTCTGGAATGTGGGCTAGTGTCACCAGGAAACAACAGCCACAGCA